CAAGAGGGATCGATTGCTGCAGAAGACATTGTGTTTGCAGCAAACAACAAATGCCGGCAAGGTTGTGGAGAGATTGGAACCCTTATTCACTGTTGTTGGGAGTATAAACTGTTGCAACCACTATGGGAGGTGATCTGGCACTTTCTTAAAAAGTTGGAAATAGAAATACCATTTGACCCAGAAATTCCACTCTAGGAATATACCCTAAAGAAAGCAAAGCTTCCACCCAGACAGATACATACACACTCATGTTTATTGTTGCATTATTAACAATAGCAAAGAGATAGAAGCAACTCAAGTGCCCATTAACAAATGAATACATAGAAAAACCAAGTTGTTGTTCACATAATGGAATACTATTCAGCACTGAAAAAAACAAGGAGCTCATAAAATATTATACAACATGGGTGATCCTGGAGGACATTATGCTGAGTGAAATATCTCAGTCACAAAAGGACAAACACTGTATAACATAGTTATAAAACAGGACTGACATGTGGCTTGGGAGAAATTAAGAAAAGATGGAGATAAATAATGAACACTGGATTGGAACAGAGGAAGGAAAGAACTGCTTTAAATGAATATATAATTAGGCATTATTTGTATAACAACAGTCTAGATGAAGAGGTTTATAGTAAAGTGAACTGGGGAGGGAGAGGGAGGAAATGATGCAACAATGAATGGATATTTTTTAAAAAGTGAATTGGAGGATAGGGAGGAAAATGTGCAACAATGAGTGAATGAAAAGCCAACTTTTCTGTAACATTTCACTAAAATCACAATAAAAGGGGAAGTGAATTGATTTAAAATTAGTAGAAAAAGAAAAATTACATAAATGAGGTAAAGGTTGATGTGGATATAGCAAACACCTTAATGACAGGAAAAGGACAAAGAAAGGGACATTTAAATGTGAGCCACATGCCATGAGTGTTTTCATGGCGTTTCTTCTTTAGGAGGAGAGGATGTTAACAAATGCGACCTACACTACCCTGTCCTCCACCATGTGTGCCTCTCACTGCAGGAGGATGGGATAACCACGTATGCTGTGGTTAGGCTCCAATGCAGGTGACCCCATCTACAACAGAATTAATTGCTCCCGAGTCGTATGCCATCCTCACAATTGCAGCTGAGCTTCAACCCACTGTAGCCACTGTCAACCCATCTTCCTGGGAGTCTTCCTCTTTTCCATTGCCTGATTTAATAAGCATCATGTCCTTTCCCAGGGACTCCTCTTGATAACATGTCCAAACTACAGGAGTAGAGGTCTCACCATCTGAATTTCTATGGAGTATTCTGGCTGCTGGGGGCTCTGGTGGCTTCATCTGTAGGGAGTTATGCTGCCAACCCAAAGGTGGTTCGAATCCACCAGTGGCTCTTTGGGAGGAAGATGGGCAATCTCCTTCCACGCAATTTGGAGTTAAATTTGCAGTCTTGGAAAAGCCTGCTGGAGGGTCAGCTATGGGTTGGTTCTGATGTGATGGCAATGTTGCTGTGGTCTTTAGGTGTCATCAAGTTGAGTACAACTCACAGTGACCCTATCAACAAAAGATTTGAACCCTGTTCTATCTGCACCATCCTCCTACTTCCTGACACACAGGAGCCCATTGCAGCAGTCACCATGTCAACCCACCTGGTTGAGGGTCTTCCTCTCCTTTGCCGACCCTCCACCCTTCCCAGCGTTATGTCTTTCTCCAAGGAATAGCCCCTCCTAGCAATGTGCCCAAAGTATGTGTGGCAAAGCCTCATCATTCTTGCCTCCAAAGGGCTCTCTGGCTGCACTCTCTTTAAGACTTATCTGTTCATTCTCTTGACTCTCTGTGGGATGTTTAGTGTTCTTCTCCAACATCATAGCTCAAAGGTATCAGTTCTTTTTTTGTCATCCTTATTCATTGTCCAGCTCTCAGATGCATAGCAACTAAATGGAAAAATCATGGCCTGAATCAGATGCACCTTATTGATGGCAATATGATTGACTAGTTGATTCTAACTGTATTACTCCAAGGTAGATCTATCTTCTTCCAAAATAGATATACTCTTTAGGAAAAGACTGGAGCATTTAAAGCATTGGCCTGGGAGCCCTGGGCCTGTCTCCCTGCACTGAGGGACCTCTCCCTTTATCAGAAGCACACTCTCTTGTATAAAACACTAGAGGCTTTAAGTTTCTGGAAACCTGAAGCCTTTGAAAACAGAGAGTGGATGGCGGGAGCCCTCTTGGCCGGCCTCTGCTTGACTTGTGAGCAGCTCTGAAGAGGCCCCTCCGTGCATTCTCCCCTCTGGCCAATACCAGGCCCACTGTTCCCAATTTTGAATCCTGGGGCAAAACGTTTCACAATTTAGAAACACAAATATTTATTTTCTTTCCTCAAGGTATAGGTTGAACTTCTAGAACTCTTTTGCAGCCCTCGCCCCAGCTATGGGGTGTTAAAGCCCATCTCTATTCCTGAAAACTTACCTGTAGCATATTTCTGCGGTTCCACTAATGAGAGGAGAAGTGACACAGAGAAGGTGTCTGTGTTCCTCCGAGGAAGCCATAGAACTGCCATTCAGAGCTGGAGCTGAAAGAGCTATTTCACAAGTCCAGCTGCAGCCCAGCCAAGAGGGCTTTGTGTGCTGAGCTCGGACACAGCCCTGTCCACTGGGGAGGGGGCGTGGCTCCAGCTCACATCCAGCTTGGCCACCTCCATCAAGCCTACACTCACCACTTCTGGCCCAAGTCTGACCCTTGTTGGTTTGCAAGGAAAGAAAACCAGTGCATTGCTGGAACCTTCTTTTCATTCATTTCTTCACTTACTCACCCAAACCCTATGCCAGGCACCACGCTGGGTGCCAAGATTCAGTGGTGCCAGAGAAAGGCAAGACCCCTGCTCAGAGGGGCTGGCATTTGGCTGAGGGAGGCAGGAAGCTCATTTCTTACACTATTTTGGGAAGTAACTAAATCGTGATCACCGTACCCTGCAGCATCATCTCTGGAGAAGAGAACGAGACTTAAAAGTCGTAGAAATAAACAGGATCAGCAGTCGCAGCTGTGTTCTGAGAGGGGGGCAGGGAGCAGAGAATTAGGAACAAAGGGAACTGAAAAGGGGAAAAGCAGAGGGAAATTAGTGTACCTTGTTTGTTCCCTTGAAAATGGTACAGAGAGTGATACAACCCGAGTGACAAGCTTTTGGCTCTGCCCTGAACCCAACTGGGTGACTTTGGGCAATGCCTCTGGGCCTCAGTTTCTTTGTCTTGTAAATGGGCTAATAGACTCAGGTCTGCTGGCTTTACAGGTCTGTTGGGAAACAAAGGAGATAGAGCCACAGTGAGGGCTTGTACCATTTCAAGGATGGAAGAGATTGCTATCATTCCTGTGCTGTACCCACAATCATGTTTCTTAAAACAAAAAAAGTCTGTATATTTACTTTTGTTGTTATTAGATGCAGGTGGCTTTGGCTCCTGGGGCCCCTTTGTTTGGCAGATTGAAACCTTGCACGAGCTTTCCTGTGCTGTTCATAAGCCTCTGTTGTGTTTAGAAGCTCATCGCAGTAGTGTCTGTGTCAATCCCATCTAAGGGTCTTCCTTTCTTTCATTGATCTTTCGCTTTTCGAAGCATGGCATCTCCATCTAAAGACTGGGCCCACCTGCCAACACGCCCAGGTATGGGTGATGATGTTTTGCTTCTAAGGAGCACTCTGGCTGCGCTTCTTTCTGCACAGAAGTGTTTGTTCTTTTGACAGTTCATGGTGTATGTATTCATTACTCTTCACCAATACCACAATGCACACATCTTAAATGTTACTATTCTGTCCTTTGAGGGGGGTTGGGGGTGGGAAGGACACTCCTCTGACTACACAGCCACTTCCATCCTCTCATCTCTGCTTCACATTGTCCCAGTGAGGCAGGATAACCCAGAATCCCCTTCCCACTGCATGATTAACTGAGGCTCGCAAAGGGTCAGTCACCAGCCCCAAGCCACACAGCCTCTTAGCAACAGAGGTGGGTTTGAACCTGACACTCCCTGACCAGCAAGCCCATGATCTTTCTGCTTTTCCCCAACAACTTCACGACCTGAAGGGCTTCTGGGGTGTAGCCTGTCAGGAGTGGCGCTGGTAACGCGAAAGCCATGCTTTCTCTGGCAGTTCAAATCTACCAGCATCTCTGAGGGTGACAGATGGGCAATTTCCTCCCTTGTGATTTACAGCTTTGGAAATGGGCTACAGGGTCAGTTATGAGTCAGTTTTAACTGGACGGCAATGAGAGAGGCTGGGCTTGGACACAATGACCCTGATGTCTGTGTTCCTTTATTTATTAGCTTCCTCTGTGCAGGTAGTTGAAAGGGCACAGGATGCAGAGACTCATCAATCAGATGCTCTCCCGTTTCTGGCTGAGACAGTGCAGGCGAGCAGCCTAACTCAGGTGGGCTTGGAAGAGAGCAGACTCTGAGTCTAGTACCTGGAGCCCTAGCCTGATAGACGTATCAGCTGTGTGTTCCTAGGAAAGTGACGTGACTGTTCTGTTCTTCAGTCACTCAACTGTAAGTTGAGAAAGGGGAGTAATAATATAGTAACTGCCTGACAAGGCTGATGTGAGGATTAAATGAGACAGCTCATGTAACTCACCTGTTCTTCACATCAACTTTATGAGGCAACTAGTGTTATCACCCCCTCAGCTTCCAGATGAATTGGACTTGATGGCAACTGTTATTTTTTAATTCCTGGGGTTTGGGGAGGTGGCTTCTCCTGCACCCCAGCTCCAGTCCTGGAGGAGCCCCTCCTACCCCACCTGAGATTTCCCAAATTCCAGCTGCAGTAAAGACGCCCTTGTGGTCGGAGGGGCCCCTGGAGCCCAGGCCAGTGGCTTCCTCCCTCTGCAGGCACACACACCTCCATTCAGCCTGGGCCCCGCCTCTGTGGGGTGGGGGCGAGGGCCTGCTGCCTTCACGTCAGCGAGGGGGGCCACCTGGTCAGGAGGCTGGCCAGGCAGCAAGGTTGATAAGGCCCGGCCGCTGCTGGACCCCCTCCACTGTGCCTCCTGCTGCCTGAGCTGCTAGCACCATGAGGGTCATCTCTGGCGCCAGCCTTGTACTCTGTGGTCTGTTTCTGCTGCTCCAGAACCCAGGCACCTGCGGTCTGGCCCCCCAGTCCAGAGGTGAGATGGTTCCAGTGAGATGGGGAGAGCAGCCTGAGGGGCTGGGCATGGAGATAGAGACTGAATGGGCTCAAAAAGGGGAGAGGGGCAGGGAGACCCGAAGATCTGCCCAGGAGCAGTGGTCGCAGCACTGACAAAGGCCAGAGCAGAGGTGATTCTGTTTGTCTACATGGGTGGATCTTCTTCATCTGTCTCTGGAGTCTGCGCCTTTTCTGGCGCTTCTTAGACTCCCAGGGACCATGCATGCTGGGACTGTGCCCTGGGTCACAGAGTCAGAAGCTGCCCCAGAGCCTGGAGCTGCACCTTGCCAGGGCAGAGCTCATGGCTCTTTGATGAGTGCAGACCGGGTGCAGGGAGGGTTATGGGAGAGCAAGACCTCAGTGCTCCACGTCCACCCCTCCAGCACATCCTCATTTGAGCCCCTCCCTCATTTCTGGTGTTTCAGTCTTGAGCACTGAGTCCTTGACAGTCTAATCCTTCCTGTGCAGCTGGAGAAATTGAGGCTGGAGGGAGCCCTGTCTAAGAGACACTAGGAAGGTGCTAGAGCCCACTGGTCCATGACACAGCCAATTCCTGATCCCTCTCTGGGCCTCAGATTACCCATATGTAGCCTCATCTAGTGGGGATGAGAAACCCAGTGGTTTCTGAAATCCTTTGTGGCACTCTGAGACCTGAGGTCAGTCTAGGGCGCTGCAGGTGAGGATTTGGGGTGGCCAGTTCACATCCTGTTCCCCAATCCTCCCTGCATCTTCCCTCAGGAGCAGCTCTGCCTGTTTCAGATTCTGCGTGGGGCCTTTCCGAAGGGCCTCTGAACTGAGCCCTGTCTGGCTGCAGGCAGGCCAGTGACAGCATCATGAAGTAAGCATTATTTCCCCACTGGCCAGAGGAGCAAGCTGAGGCCGGGGGTGGGGGTGGGTGATGATGACCTGTCACGGGCTAAAGAATGGCTGCAGCAGGGTTTGAACCCAGATCAGTCTTACTCCAGCTCCATGAGCTTCTCAGCACAAAGTGCCGTCTCCAGGATGTCTGGGAAGTCATCTGTCCTTGTAGACATGTTTCGGAGCCCACCTGGTCAGGCTGCGGAGGTGGCCACCAGGAATTCTTATTCCTCTCCCATGTCCGCACAAAGCAGCCTCAGCAGCTATGGAAACCAGTTCTACTTTGGTGAGTCGCTTTGATGCTCAGATGAAAGAGGCGTACTGGCAGGCGCTGCTTTGCCCGCAAGGCTGTGCTCACCCCTGGAGGGCCCACCTTCAGAGCCCTCCTGCCCAGCCGGGAGAAGTAGCTGCCCTTGTCTATGGCAACCTGGGTGGTGCAAGGCTTCACTCGTCCTTGAACCTTCCCAGTAATCCCAAGGGAGAAATGCCTGGTGATCAGCTTCTGCGAAGGCCACAGCTATGGGAACACTAGGGAGTTCTCAGCAACACGTGAGGCTGCTAGGAGTTGGAATCTGAAGTTGCTAGGAAGGCTTTCTGGGTCCTGAGCACCTGCAGTAGACGGGCCAGTTCACGTGTCAAAATCTTAGACATGCTCATCCCCACAAGGATCCTGTAAGGAAGAGATTACCTGCCTCATCGTGCAGATGAGGAAACTAAGGCTCAGAGAAGTGAAGTGACAGGGCCAAGAGCAGGTTGTGAATCTTGGTCTTTCCTGCTGGTCTGAGCTGTGTGTCTCTCACTGGAAGGAGGACCCAGGAGCCTGACTAAGGCCTGGGGCTCCGGTTTCTACTAGCTGTTCAGCACTCTCTGTTCTGTTGTCCTGAGTCTTCAGCTCTACCTCCTGACCTGTGTGCTCTTTGCCCTTTGCCCCCCTGTTCCCGTCCTCAGGGCATCTCTGCCGGACCCGGCCCACGGACCTGGTGTTTCTGGTGGACAGCTCGCGCAGTGTGCGGCCTTCAGAGTTTGAGAAGGTGAAAGTCTTCCTGTCCCAGGTCATCGAGTCTCTGGATGTGGGGCCCAATGCCACCCGGGTGGGTGTGGTCAACTACGCCAGCTCCGTGAAGCAGGAGTTCCCGCTGCGGGCCCACCACTCCAAGGCTGCGCTGCTGCAGGCCGTGCGCCGCATCCAGCCGCTGTCCACTGGCACCATGACCGGCCTGGCCATCCAGTTCGCCGTCACCAAGGCCTTCAGCGATGCTGAGGGTGGACGGGTCCGGTCTCCCCACATCAGCAAGGTACATCTCCCCACCCTGCAGGACTTCCACTGGGGGCTGGGAGCATTGCCTGTATATGCTGATTTAACTCTTCCCAAATCTCCATGAGGTGGTCATGACCGTCCAGGAAGTGAAAGTCCAGATGGAGAGGTCATTTGGCAGAGGTCACCAGTTATAAGTGACAGCTGGGATTCGAACTTAGGTCTTTGCTCAGACTCCTGCCCCTCAGAGGTCAGTCATCGCCAGCTGGTCAGAGGTCCATGAAGTCAGAAAGGAGACACACCAGAGACTTACATGGTGGTGAAGTGTGTGGCCTCTGCAGCAGACTGTCTGGGTTGAAAGCCCTGCTCTGCCATGTGCCACCTGGGATGAGTCACTTTATCACACAATGCCTCAGTTTCTTCAAATGTAAGATGGAAGTAATAGTGCCACCTTTTCAAAGGGCAGTTGAAGATCTAAATAAGTTAATGCGCTCAGGACAGTGCCTAGCATGTAATAAAGCCATGTAAGCATTAGTAGCAGGAGCTGTGATAGCATTACAGTCAAATGCTTGGCTGTTAATCAAAAGGTTGGCTGTTCAAACTCAGCAGCTGCTCTGCAGGAGGAAGACATGTCAGTTTCGGTAAAGACTGCAGCATTGGGAATCCCATGGGGCAGCTCCAGTCTGCCCTGTAGGGTTGCTGCGAGTTGAAATTGCCTCAATAGCCATGAGCTTTAAGCACTAACTAGGAATGCTTGCCTGCTGTACATGATAAAGCAGCAGCTACTGAAGGAAAGATTGGCAGTTCAAATCCACTGAGAAGGCCCTCAGAAGAAAGGCCTGGTGATCCACATTCCAAAAGAATCATAGAAAACACTGTGGAACACACGCACATTTACTTTGAAACTCATGATGTCACCACAAGGCGGTGTTGACTTGGTAGCATTTTTTTTAAAGCAGTGTTTTTATGTAGCATCGAGTTGGAACTGACTCAGAGCTGACCCTCCAGGGGCTTTTCAGAGGCTGTAAATTGCACAGCAAGAGACTGCCCATCTTTCTCCCATGGAGCAGCTGGTGGATTAGAACCACATGCCTTTGGGTTGGCAGCACAATTCCTTACCGCTAAGCCGCCAGAACTAAAAAAAAAACCCCATTAGTTAATGCTTTATTTGGTAATCCTTTGAGGCCTCAGGAACACAAAGCAGTGTGTCCCACATTGCTGAGTGGAGTTCCCGGTGGAGCTCTGTTGTTTCCACAGACCTTCTAGCCACATTCTCATTTTCAAGGACTCAGTCCAGGGGCTCGAGGTCATTTTCTCCTTGTCCATCATGGCCCTCTCACTGACCCCTGCCCTTCCCCACCACAGCCCTGTTGGCCTCAGAAGTCAGTTTACCTGTGCTGGGCCCAGCCCAGGTGACACACTCTTCCCAATCCTCCCAGCTCTAACACTGTGCCTGCCACATGCCAGATACCTGGAACATGAGTGCTCAGAGATAGTCTCCCACTTTATGGGCAGGAAGTTAAGGAAAGGAGGACTTAAGAAATCCACCCAGTTAATAAATATCACTAGTTTCCCAGACAATAGCATTTAATCCCTGTCATTAACCTATTGCTGTGGGTTCATAGCAACTCTCTGCTGGGTCCCCAAGGCTGTGAATGGCTGAGGGACTGCCCATCTTCCTCCCAAGAGGAGACTGCTGGACTCCAACCACTGGTCTTTTTGTTAGAAGTCCAGCCTGTTACCCACTAACTACCAGGGCTCCCTCATCCCAGTCATTGCAACCCCTCAAAGAAAGGACATATTGAGCTGCCCATTTGTCTTGTTTTGTGGGGGCTGCTTGTAAGTTCTGACGTGAAGTGTTCTAGATGAGGCTGATGGCTGTGGTGTCTGGGAGGATGTGGTGGCCTTGGGTGATCTAATAGAAGAGGGGGTGCTGGTGATGGAGCTCACACCTCTCCAGTCAACTAGGTCACCTCAGATCAGCTAGTGCTTGAGCTGAGCAAACGGAGGAGGAAGTGGGGGAGCAGGGACCAGACACCAAGGGCTCATCCTGGAATTTACCTGTAGGAAGAGCCACAGATGGGTATGAGGCTCAAAGCTGAGGGGAGAATCACAGCTGGCTGTTCTGTGCCAGGAGCCCAGGTCTCTGGAGAGGAAGAGACAGTGTGGGAACCCGCCCCAGGGGGTCCTGGGTAATGAGGCTTAGCAAGGTGATGCTATGTTTATAATCCAGGACTGTCTTAACCACTCTACTTGCAAGTCACCAAGAAGGGGGTCAGGCTAGAGGGGCCGGGTACGGGAACTCAAGGCGTGTAGCAGATCCAGAAGTCAGAAGCAGAGAAGCAGCAAAGGGGATTCAGGGCAGAACCCCAGATTGATGTCAGAGTCACGAAAACTCGAGATTCACAGCTGGCCCAGGTTGGATGGGGTTGTATGAGGATGACTAGTGAGAAGCTCAGCCCCACGGTATCTCCTCTTCTACTCAAGAATATGAGCAGGGAACCCTTGTGGGAAGGGCAGATAGATTCTTTTCCTCCATAGAAAGGGACATGGATGACACTGGGCGTGGAGGGAGCAAAAGAACGCAGCTACTGTTCATTGGACTGTTAACAGTCTCAGAACGCAGAAAGTGGTCCTTCCCAGGACTTGAAGGCAGAGAGATGGCCAAACATCAGTCAGTATTCCTGAGCCTTGGCTGCCCCCTCGTGGCCAAAGTGCCAAACAGTAAGGTATTGTTGTTAGGTGCCCTCCAGTGGCTACAACTCGTAGTAACCTGTGAACACCAGATCTGAACGCTGCCCTATTCTCATCATCTCCAATATACTTGAGCCCATTGATACAATTACTGTGTAAGTTCATCTTCTTGAGGATCTTTCTCTCTTTCGCTGACCCATCACCCTTCCAAGTATGATGTCCTTTTCCAAGCATGATGTTCCTCCACAAACAACATGCCTAAAGTTTATGAGCTGAAGTTTCATCACCTTTGCCTCTAAAGAGCACTCTAATTACATTTGCTCCAAGATGTATCTGTTTGTTCTTTGGACAGAGCATGGGATGTTCACTATTCCTTGACAACACCACAGCTCAAAGGCATTGATTCTCCTTCTGTCATCCTTATTCATCGTCCACTCCCTTAAGGCTTTCCTGCTTGTACTCTGAGAAGGAAAGGGGACCCTAGCACTGAGCCTCTCGCTCATCACCCAATCCCTACCTCATCGGAATCTGCAGTGAATCCCGGGTCCAAATGAATCTGGACTCAGTTTGGGGTTTGGTACTGAGGCCCTGTTGCTGCTTCTGACGTCTGGATCTGCATGGTAGTGTTGTTGTTGAGAGTTGGAATCAGCCCATAGCTGACCCTCCAGTGGGTTTTCGGAGCCAGTCAACCACACAGGAGGAGAGTGCCTATCTTTCTCCTGTGGGGCTCCTGGTGGATTTGAACCACGTACCCATGCATTGGCAGCACAATTCCTTATCTCTCAAGCCATATTGGAATCAGAATAGGAGCAAACCAGCCCTTTAGACTAATGGAGTCCCTGCCCTGTCAGACCATGGCAGGAAGTCTTGCATAGCCCTAGAGATAGTCCAGCGTTGGCACGGGCATGTCTTCCAGTGGCCCTGGACCTTCAGCGATCTCAAATCTGTTGGAGGAGACCTGGCTTTGCCTCCTCACAGGTACTCAGTCTAAGGGTGGAGGCATATGTTTACCCTTACAGACACCCATCTCAGAGAGGAGACATGCCCCCACTCTTAGGACCCTTCCAGGGTGAAAAGGGACACACAGATCTTCCCTCAGAGGTATCCAGTCTGAGGCCAGTGACATAACTCTACCAGTAGAGTATCACACTTCTGCTCTCTGAAGCTGCCTGCCTGAGGGAGGAGACACATCTGCTCCCAGAGGTCCCTGTCGGACACCTCAGCCCCGTTTCTCAGTCAATCCTCTTTTGCTTGTCGACTTCTCTTCACTGGAGGATTCTGGGGAATCAGATTTACCTGCAGTGGACTAGTCGGGTGACCCTGGGCAGGTCACTCTTCTCCCAGCCTCAGCTTCCTCTTCTGTCCACAGTCCTGCAGGGCTCCTTGAAGGGCTGAAGAGCCTGGGTTAGTGAGGCGTGGAAGCCCTGGACCTCATACATCCCACTGTTGCAGGTGGTCATCGTGGTGACAGATGGAAGGCCCCAGGACAGCGTGCGGGACGTGTCTGCCAGGGCCCAGGCCAGTGGCATCGAGCTGTTTGCCATTGGTGTGGGCCGTGTGGACAAGGCCACGCTGCGGCAGATCGCCAGCGAGCCTCAGGATGAGCACGTCGACTACGTGGAGAGCTACAATGTTATCGAGAAGCTGTCCAAGAAGTTCCAGGAGGCCTTCTGCGGTGCGCCTGGTGGGGGCTTAAGGGATCAGGGTCAGACAGAAGGGGCGGAGATAGTCACCAGAGGGCGGGGCCACGGGTGGAGGCGGGGCCTGGGTTGAGAGGCAGGGAAGGGGCGGGGCTTGAACAAGGCAGGGTTTCGGGAACTTGGCGTTGTAGGCGGGGATTGGGCGGAGCGGGGGAAGTGGGAAGGGGAGTGGGTGGAGCGATGCTCTGTGTGGGCGGGGACTTCGAGAACCTGCACCAGAGCCCAGGACAGAGTCCGGTGCAAGGAAAACTCTCACCGTGGTTTAAGGAAGGTGGGGAGACAGGACGTCAAGAGACGTCTTAAGTGGCAGGGTTTAGGCAGGGAACTGGAGAAGAAAGAACCTTCTAATGGGAGAACCTTTTAAGCTATGTGTGTTTGTACTGAGAGTAGTGGTGGTAGTGGGTGCTTGGGTGTCAAAGTCTTCTGTGTCTAGGGGACGTGGCACTGGCAGAGAAAGGTTCTGCGTTCTTCATAGAAGGAAGGTGGACTTGTGGAGACATTTTTGAGATATGACCAGTTAAAAGGGGTGGAGTGGGCAGGGCCTCGAGCAGGGGCGGGGCAAGGACTTCTCACCTTTTGTCAACTAAGAACATGGACATCACTGGGGAAAGATGTGACACAGTACTCAGGAGAGTAAACACATATTTATTGAGCATCTCCCATGTGCTGTATTTGTGCCGGGAGCTCTGTAAAGCCTTGCTCCTGTGGCTCTTACCTTTTTCAGTGCTAAGTTTTATGTTTTTCCTTTAGTATTATCACCTTCTTCGAGGATATTAGTAGAGTCAGGCCCTGTGTCCCACCCAGTTGGAGGGAGACCTCATTTCCCCTTAGCGTGCAAGCAGGTTGGGTCTCCAGTGCGAGTATCCTGGCTGGGATATCTGAAGCCCTGTGACTCTGAAGTTCCTTTGTCCACACAGTGGTGTCAGACCTGTGTGCCACAGGGGACCATGACTGTGAGCAGGTGTGCGTCAGCTCCCCGGGATCCTATACCTGCGCTTGTCGTGAGGGCTTCACACTGAACAGCGATGGCAAGACCTGCAATGGTCAGTGGGCTGGGCTGGGAGGGCACAGGGGGTATGGGTTGGCTACTACCCCTTGAGTCCTATGCCTATAATGAATGCCCTCTAGAGCTTGGTTTTTGCAGAAAGCCCTCTTCCTGACTGACTGTTCGCTCTATCTTGTCACAGTGGCTGGGTAGGATTAGTGTGATGGGAATAGTTAGAGAGTCTCAAGTTCAAATCTTAGTTCCATGGCTTAAACTGCAGGATTTACCAGCTTTTAGACCTTCCTGCAGTTTTCAATGCTGTAGAATGGAAACAGTAATGTTGGATTTATAGAGTGTAAAATAGGGGTAATAGTAATAGTATCTGATATCTGAACTGGTCTAACCTTGAAGGGGATGATAATTACCAGGATCAACCCAAAGGTGATTCCCACAGGGGAAAAGATCTGATATATCCCCTTTATCTAATCATGTCATCAATTTTTACTCTAGTCATCCCTCCCACGGCACTCTTTAGTTCTCCTTTGCGTTCAGTACTTCATTGCAATGGTCACATAGAAGTCACAGAATATACAGTTAAGTGGTTTATTAAGGAAGTAACAGGAGTCAGATCAGGAAGCATGCAGGCAATGCCTCCCTTCTGCAGAGCAGGACAGCTTTCTTGGCTCGTCTTCTGCTGTCTAAGTCTCTTCTTGTCCTCCTAAAAAGATGCTCCTTTTAACGCTGGTGTCCGTCACCATTGAATCCCTTCTGGATCTGTCATTGTCTTCAATGTTACAGTCTTTGACTTATGCTTCTATTCTCTAAGGAGGTCCTTGCCTTTTTTCTCTGTGTGCTTTGTCCTGCTCCTTTCTCTCTCCAAACCCATCTCTGGGATTGGCTGCTTAAATGTATAACTTGTGAATTTCACAAGCTGGGCCCACAAACAGACCAATCTCCTCTTAGTAGGCCTCAGACACTTCATTTACATGGTAAATGCTAACTCACCTCATTTGCATAGTCAGTTGACTGCAAAGCACATTCCAATTACAGGCGAGGCTACAGCCTAGGACTGGATAAAAATGTCAAACCAAGTTGCTTACAGTTTACTCAGGAAATGTCACAAACCCTCTAGGGTAGAAAACTAAGGCAAAGGTAATGCCTGAGAGTTTCGTGGGCAAATCTTAAAGCTGTTTGTTTTTCCAAAGCACCAACAGAAGGCCACATAAAGGAATACATTTGAGGGAGTTTGGGGGACAAACCTGTGATTTCCCAGGGCAGAGCGTGAGAAGGGGGCAGGATTGTTGCCCAGCGAGTGTTCTGGATGGATGCTTCACCACCTTGCCTTTCCTTTCCTTCCCAGTGTGCAGCGGTGGTGGTGGCAGCTCGGCCATTGACCTGGTCTTCCTCATTGATGGATCCAAGAGTGTGAGGCCAGAGAACTTTGAGCTGGTGAAGAAGTTCATTAACCAGATCGTGGACACGCTGGATGTTTCCGATAAGTTGGCCCAGGTGGGACTGGTGCAGTACTCGAGCTCTGTGCGTCAGGAGTTCCCGCTGGGCCGCTTCCACACCAAGAAGGACATCAAGGCAGCGGTGCGGAACATGTCCTACATGGAGAAAGGCACCATGACCGGGGCTGCCCTCAAGTATCTCATTGACAACTCCTTCACCATCTCCAGTGGGGCTCGGCCTGGTGCCCAGAAGGTGGGCATTGTCTTCACTGATGGCCGGAGCCAGGACTACATTAATGACGCTGCCAAAAAGGCCAAGGACCTTGGTAGGTGCTGCCTGCCCCTGGCCTCCACTGACGCATAGCTATCTTGCAGCTTATCTTGGTGGTTGTTGTGACTAGTGCCATAAACCCAGGTGATGTGAGTGGAAAGGTATTGTTAATCCATCCCTACCTTACATTGATGGCAAAATTGAGGCCCTAGAAGTGGTTTGTTTGCTGATTCTTTTATAGGTGGGATATAGAACACACATATTAGAAGAATATTTGTGCCCAAGAACACACCAACTCTCGAGGGCAGCTGCAGAGAAAGCCCGAGTCTCAGGGCTTTTTTAACCACTCAACAGGGAGCTCTTGTGGCTTCTTCTTCCATAGAAAGTTGTGTTACACAACCCAAAGACCATGCCTCTTTGGCAGTTCAAATCCACTAGGAGAAAGAAAGAGAATCTGTGCTCATACAAAGACTAGGAAACCCAATGAGCCCTTTCTGACTTAAATATAATGACTACTGGTAGCAGAGTAGAGAGTTATGAGGGCTAAATGACATTACAGAGCTCTCACGACAGGGTATGGCATATAGTAGAACCTGAACAAGGATTTGCTCAGTTTCTTTGGCTTAGGCACTATGCCTGCAATTCCTAAAGCTGTCACCAGGAGGTTTCTGGTATCAAGTGTCTGCTTGAACAGCTAGGACATATGACTAATCCAGACGGCCTTCTGCAGTTGGCCTTATTAATTTTGTTCCTTCTGGCAGGATTTAAGATGTTTGCTGTGGGTGTGGGTAATGCAGTGGAGGATGAATTGAGGGAAATTGCCTCAGAGCCTGTGGCAGAGCACTCCTTCTACACAGCTGACTTCAAGACCATCAACCAGATTGGCAAGAAATTACAAATGAAGATCTGCGTGGGTAAGTGAGGCCAGGGAAGGGCAGGTGGGACTCTGTAAAGGAACAAAGTCATCCTGGGACTGGGTGTGAGCAGGGAAAAGCAATGAGGAGGGCGCAAAAAGAGTTATCAGAACAAAGGAGATGGTCTTATAGTATGATGGTTATGACCACTAGTACTGCACCTGTGGTTTCCAAATATTAAAACCTTCCATCCTGTTTGGTAGGAATACTATTATTTTTGTTTCATAGATGGAAAAACCAAGGCAAGAGGAGTAGAGTGATGATTAGTAGCTTGGAGAGCTGTGGTACAAACCCTTCTGTTTCTTCCTGGTAATGAACATGGGCTTCAGAGTCAGACAATCCCAGTGCCTTGCATCTTTGGTTTGACACTAACTAGATGATGGACACAGGAAAGCCATTCTACTTCTTTTTATTTTTCTATTAAATAGGGTTAATGATTTCAAACCCAAATAGTTGGGGTGAGGTGTTAACCAAGGTAACATAGAGCCCCCCAACAGTGTTTTGCACCTAGGTGCTCAGTGGTTGGGCACTATTTCTGGGGTTCATTCTTAGGGCTTAAGCATTTGAACTGTCTTCCCCCTTTCTCTAGGGGTTCTGTCAAAAGGGCTCTAAGCTATTCTGCCTCATCAGCATTCCCAGAGTCCTTTCCCCAGGATTCTGTCATCCTGACCTTGGGAAGTGACCCCTGCCCCCTAGGGCAACCACTCACCATCTTTTCTCTTTCTCTGCTTTTCTTCCCATCCCAGAGGAAGATCCATGTGCCTGTGAGTCCATGGTGAAATTCCAGGCCAAAGTGGAGGGGTTGCTGCAGGCTCTGACCAGGAAGCATATCCTTTACCTGAGGTCACCGTGGGGAAAGGGAAGGGTAGAGGGGCTACCAATGTGGGGAGAGGAGAGGGAAAATGCTACTCTAGTGGGCTTGGGTGGGTGCCTTCTTGCCTGGTTCCTGCTGCAGAAGATCTGGAACGTGGCCAGATAGTATTGGCTCAGCAAGGCTCGTAGAGAGTAAACTGGAGGTTGACGGTCCAGACACAAACACACATAGAGTCCTGGACCTGTTCAGGAACTCACAGGGCCCCACAGACTCCCACATCTCAAGCTCACAGTAACATGATGGGTATAGCCTCCACTCAGAGTTGGGTTTGAAAAACCAGAAGACTCTCCTGGCAGAGCCAGGACCCAGCAGGGCTAAACCTGTGAGGTAGGGTAGGGCATCAGAGCTCAAAGTATCTAGCTATAACTTTGGACAACATTGTTCTGGGGATATTGGATATATAATTTTTGATAGAGGCAAGAAGACTAGCTACATGGCATCTAGCCTAGGAATGAAAGATGGTCAGTTAAAATAGAATATGGGGTCCCTAGGCAGGCACCACTTCCATCACTGCCCTTTTCTGGTCGACTTGTACCTCTCCTTGACTCAGAGCCCACTGGAAGCAGTGAGCAAGCGGCTGGGTATCCTGGAGAACAGAATTGTCTAAGATGTCCTGCTCCCTGCCATGGCCTTTCCACCCTGACCCCAGCGTGGCTCAGAGAGTCCTGCATGTATCCCTTCTAGCCCCAAACTTAGCCTAGCTTTAGCCAGTTTAGTGAAGGAGGCTATGGATAGACAGGACCCTGGAATGGGTCTTCCCAGCCTCTGACATCCTACAAGCACCTGGGGAGGGGGTGGGGGGTGGGTGTGCATGTGTGTGGGTATGTGTGTGCATGAGTGAGAGAGCAAAGAGGTGAGTGTGAGAGTAATTACATTTGCATTTTTTTAAATCAAAAGCTTAATATATTCCTATTTTTTTAGTTAACCCTTTCTTAATTTTGAGTGATGTGAGACTCCTTTACTGATTTCTCTATTCCTCTTTGAAAACCAATTAAATGTGATTTAACTTAAGCACTGAATGGGGCTGGAGGCAGTGTGGTCATTTGACTATGAGGAGAGAGAACTGATGAGGGTGAGTGGGGGTGATGAGATTGATGGCAATGGGAACAGCAATGACAGCAGCCACACCCAGACCAGCTTATGTCCAGCCTATCCTTGTCCTGCCTTTTCAGTTACACATTCATTTACACCATCTCCTTTCCTCATCCCACAAATCATATGCAGAACAGAAAAAACCTATTTTACAGATGGGAAGACTGAGCATCAGTGAAAGTATGACTTGCTCAACGAAGGGTCTATTGGGGAAAGGACTTAAACCACAGATCACAGGACATTAAAGAGGAGGAAAGGCATTGGAGGAGGGCAATGGTACCAGATGTATGTGCCATCGAGTCGCTTGTGATTTATAGCAATCCTATATACAACAGCTTTCAGTCTTGCTCTGTCTTGAGCCAACTTCATTGTCTCGGACACATTTACTCCTGTTGTTGTGCCATTGAGTCGCCCGCAACTCAAATCCTATGTACAACAGACCTAAACCCTGCTCTATTCTGTGCCAATCTCACTGTCTCTGACACACCTACCACCATTACCCCAGTCACTGAATCATACTATCTCATTGACGGTCTTTCTCTCCTGCGCTGTCCCTCCACCCTCCCAAGCATGATGTCCCTCTCCAAGGATTGGTACTTCCTTGCAACATGTCCATAGTATGTCAGATGAAGCTTCAGAATCCTTGCCTCTAAGGAGCAGCCTGGTTTCACCTTCTCTAGGATGAATCTTTTTGTTCTCTTAGCAGTCCATGGCATAGTCAACCCTTCTCCAACACAACAGCTCAAAGGCATCAATTCTTCTTTTATCATCCCTAGTCATTGTCCAGCTCTCTGATGCATAGCAAGTGACTGCAAAGACCATGGCCTGGATCAGGTGCACCTTAGTCTCCAGACTGACATTGTTGCTCCTCGTACTTTGGAGAGGTCTCTGACAGCAGCCTTTCCCAGTGCAATACGTCGTTTAATTTCCTGGCTGCTGATACCAAGAGTGTTGATTGTGGAGCCAAGCAAACTAAAGCTGTTAACAATCTCAGTCTCTTTACCATCTATCATGATGCTGGCAATCAGCCCAGTGGTGAGAATCTTTGTCTTCTTAATATTGAGCTTCAATCCATATCTAAAGCTGCAGTCCTCAACCTTCTGAAGGAAGCACTTTAGGTCCTCTTCAATTTCATCAAGCAGGATTGTGTCATCTGCATAATGCAGATTGTGTCATCTGCATAATGCAGTCTTCCTCTAGTCTTGATGCCACATTTCTTCCCATAGAGCCCAGCCTCCTGAATAATCTTTTCACCATACAGATTGAAAAGGTATGGAGACAGGACACATCCCTGGCATCTACCCTTCCCAATTTTGAACCATGCAGTGTTTTCTTGCTCTGTTTTGATGACTGCCTCCTGGTCCAAGAATAGGTTTCGCATAAGCACGATCAAGTCTGGGATTTCCATTCTTCTCAGAGTCAGCCACAGTTTGTTTTGATCCACACAGTCAAATGCCTTTGCATTGTCAATGAAACACAGATAGACACTTCTGGTACTTCTTGCTTTGAGCCAAGATCCAGCTAACATTAGCTACAATATCCCTAGTACCACGGCCTCGTCTAAACTCAGCCTGCACTTCTGGCAGTTCCCTGTTGATGTGCTGTTCCAGTTGCAGTAGTTTTTTAATAATCTTCAGCAGAAACATGCTTGCACGTGTTATTATTGATATTGTTCAATCACTTCCGCATTCTATCGGATCATATAGATCTCTTCCAGTCAGTTGGTCAGGTGGTTGTCCTCTAGATTTCTTGGCACAACGTGGTGAGCATATCTAGGACAGCATCTGTTTGTTGAAATATATCAATTGGCATACTGTCAATTCCTGGGGCCTTTTTTCTTTTTTTCCTATTCATTCAGAGCAGCTTGAACTTCCTTTATCACCATAGGCTCTTGATCATACATTGTTTCATGAAATTCTTCTGTGTCCACTAATTCCTTCTGGTACAATGACTCTGTATATTCTTTCCATCTTCTTTTCATGCTTTATGGGCCATTTAATAGTCTGTCCAAAGCATCCTTAAGTATTGCAACTTGAGGCTTGTATAGCGAATCTCTATAAAACAGCTTTCAACCCTGCTCTACCTTGAGCCAACTTTGTTTTCTCTGACACAATTATCCTCCTTACCCCAGTCAAGTAGGACCACTCATTCATTCTTTCAACAAAGACAGAGCACATACTCCACTCAAGTGGTGGGGAGATAGTGGTGTACAAGATAAAGTCTTAGCTCTTGAGGAACTTACAGTTGTCACATATCCTCACTCCAGCTAGAGAAGAGAGTGGGGCCAGATTTTCCAGGTCTAGTTCTTTCCTTTGGCTCCCTATTGGAGTCCTCTCTGTTGTGTATTTGGCTATCAGCAGCTTTTGCCCCTCCTCTGACACGGTTGTAACTTCTCCCCCTCAGGAACCGCGCTGGGAGAGACTCTTAACCCGATGCCCTCCTCTTTCCTTCCTGTCAGCCCAGTTGAGTCTTCCAGGCATGGCTCTAACATTGGGCCTCTCCAGATTTCTCTGGAGAGCACCCTCGTGGTTTCTCAATTCTTCTCTCATAGTGAGTGTTCCTCTGATTTTCTGAACCCATTCTTGTCTGATGGAACATTTTCAGTGTTACTACTAGATTCACACTTGACAACTTGTAAAAGCCTTTTATGAGAAGCTCAGGACATCCATGAAGATCTGATTTAGCTGCAGTTCAGGGACACAGAGGAATAACATGAACAATAAACCCAAGAGCCACAATAAAACAATAGCATAACTGCAAGAGAGAAACTTAGCAATTATACCACCACTTCTCTATCTTTGTGATCCAGTCACCACTATGTGCATTTTCTTTTTAAAAAAAATTATTTTAATTGTAATTTTAATGAAAGTTTACAGAGAAGTTGAATTTTCATTCATTCATTATTGTACATTTTTCTCCCTCTCGCTCCCTTCCCCCTCTTCCAGTTCACTTTCTATTTTTTTTAAAATAGTCATTCATTTTTGGTCAATTTCCTCTTCCTCTCCCATTTTCTCTCCCTCCCCTAGTCCTCTTTGAAATGTACCTCTTATTCTGGATTAGATTGTATTACATACAATGCCTAATAATATGTTGCTTTTAAATAGTTCTCTCCCTCATCTGTTCCAATATAGTGTTCATCATTTATTAACTCTTTTCCCACTCTCCTCCCAACCCCCCCCCATGTCAGTCCTGCTTCATAATGGTGGTCTTATGCAGTATTTGTCCTTTTGAGACTGAGACATTGTGGTCAGCATAATATCCTCCAGGATCACCCATGCTGTGGAACATTTTATGAGGTCATTATTTTTCAGTGCTGCATAGTATTCCATTGTGTCAATATACCATAGTTTTTCTATCAATTCAGATGTTATTCTACTGAAACTTTCTCTATGCCAGACCCCAATCTAAGGACTCTTTTGCTGTCTGTGGTGGTTCCTTGTAGGGCTCAGCCATATTGCCTTTTATTGTCCCCAAATTATGCCCACTCCCCTCCCTTCCTTGAACATGGTGGATGGAACAGTGCAGTGTAACTCTGTCTACTGATTTCAGCAGATTGGTCCACAGCAGATACCTACCTAGGTTGGGCCAATCAGCTTCTCACTTAAGATGTTAGACTTGGACATCTAGTTACCTGACTGTAATACTAAGGCTAAGGGAGCCTCTGTCTCTTCCAGAAGCACTAGAATACAAAGATTAGAAGCGCCTGTTCTCAGGAAACAGCAAAACAGCATTTGCCTGGGTTGCTGGTTATGTTCCAATCTAATGATGTCTCTGTTTTCTGGTGCTGTGCAACAAATGACGCCCAAACAGTGGCTTAACAGAACAACCTGTTGATGGTGTGACTCCACGAGCTGAGTGGGCTCAGCTGGGTGGTTTTCTGCTCTACGTGGTACTGACTGGCTGCAGTCACCTGAGGCTGCAATCCAATATCGCTCACTCACATGACTGGTGTTGGTGGGGACGGCTCGAAGGCTGGGCCCCTCTCCCTCTCCAAGTCATCTCAGGTCCTCACCCACCATGTGGGTTCTCCAGCAGGGGGGCTGGGCTGCTTATGTGGCAGCTCTGAGCTTTCAGAAAGTTGTTAAGGTTATGGTCACAGGTCCTCTCACTGTTTCCAACTGGCCAAAGCAGATCTAGGCTGCTCAGATTTAAGAGACAATGAGGAAAACTCAACTTCTTGGTGGGACGGAGACTGACAAAGAATTTGTGGTAATTTTCAATCCCTCATTTCTTGATCCCCTTCTTGTGCTGGACTGTGCTCTCTGCCCTTGGCATTCTCTGGCCTCGAGGACACATCCGCCCACCTCTCAGTTCCTCTACCTTCCCCTGGATCCTGTCTGGTACTAGTATTCCTTTCAATACAGACACCTGGCCTCCAGTAACCGTACTATCTATGGTACCTCCATCTGCATAGAGAACAACCCAGTGGGGGCACATGCAGGGAGCCTGGTTGGCCTCTCGTAGCTATCCTCCAGTTTCACCAGGAGGCAAAGCTGAGGACAGCCTTGTCTCTCT